AAAATCGACGGTATTTTGTAGCCACTTCAAACTTGCACTTTATTATATTAAAAGTAAATGGGCTATTAAATTGCATACTCAATAAAAATGTTGAATAAAAGGTGTAAAATTTTGTTGAAAATTGGAGGATTGTTTTTTGTTGTTACAAAGTTACAACTTCAAGTTGTATGGATTTTGTTGTAGTGTGAACTATATTTGATTAAAAATTAATAAAAATTAAATTAAACAAAATATTTTCAAAAAATGGAAATAATTACTGTACGATTTTCGCTGGCACTCAATGTAGGTATATTTTTTTCAATTTGTTTTAATCTTTTTTCATGCAGTGTGACTTAAAAGATCACGCAAACAAAGTTTTCCGAAATGATTCTTTTCTTCATATTTTTTAGTATGTTACCTTGTCTATACCTACGCAAGAACCGCATTAAGAAAAGCCCGATTTGACTCAACACATATTTCTTTCAAGTGTTCCCAGCCAGTAATGCAATGTAAAAATTTTGCCGATAGTGCAGTGTAATACAATTTTCCGTATCCGGAAACGAATAGAAAACCACTACAGTTATTATTCCTTTTTGTATCCTTAAACCGTTCGAAACGTTCGAAAAAAAGATGATTTTATTGGGAACACTAATTGTATTTTAGTTGTTCAAGCTAAACATTTGAAAGCATGCATGCGTAGTCGGCAGTGGATGAGCGTCCAGAGAGGCGTGCCGCTATTTGTTAGCTTCCAGAAGGTGCCGGGTTCGAATTCCGTCAGGCCATGAACCATGAAAAAGTATCTGTGAAGTGCAGAAGGAAGGCGTATTGAACGAAAAATTCAATAAGACAAATTTCGGAAAAAACAGCCGAGAAAGTGTCCGTTTCACAAGCAATTTTCGGTAGTTGTCTGTACATACGTTTCTGCTGCACACTTTAGTGGGAAAACGGATCGTCAAAGTATCCGAAAATGGAATCGGTAAACGGACAGAAATTCGCACTTCATCCACTTTTTTTGTCCTTTTTCTGATCGGATGTGCGGACTCGTCCATTATCCATATACCCTTGCTGTCAGCTGATTAAGTTAAAGTTACATTTTGACCAGTTTTGGTCTTTTATTTTGTTTTTGCTGTGGTGTAGTGGTAAGCAGTGCGCGCTTCCATCCCGCAACGCCTGGGTTCAAACCCTGGTCAAAGCAACGTCGTAAAAAATATAGAAAAAAGGTTTTTTCTTAACAGCGGTCATCCCTCGGCAGGCAATGGCAAATCTCCGACAGCTCCTCATAAAAATACAATCGCCATTCCGAGTCGGCGTAAAACTGTAGGTCCCTCCGCTTTGTGTGACAACATCAAGGCGCACGCCACAAATCGGAGTAGAAGCTAGGCCAAACACTAACATATGTGTAAGCGCCAATCTATTAT